GGGTCAGAGGCATTGCCTGCTGGCTCTGGGCTGGCAGGCTTGGAGCTGGCACAGGCACTGTGGCCAGAGTCAACCCCTATAAGGGCTCTGGGGAGGGAGAGGAGTGTGCTTGTTTGAGGCTGGAGTGGCTACCAGGGCACCCTGGGAAGGTTGGAGGCCCCCTATTTCGAAATAAGTGTCTACACAGCACTTATTTTGACTTAGCTATTTTGAATTTGGTGTTATTCCTCGTACAATGAGGTTAACCAAATTCAAAATAAGTGCTCCACTATTTTGAATTTATTTTGAAATAGCGGTTTGGCTGTGTAGACGTTAGTAAAGTTAATTTGAAATAATGGCTGTGTAGACATACCCCTAAATATCTAGTACGTCTGACAAAGCAGAGTAAGTATCTTATACTAGTTAGTATTTTTATTAACAGAACATTTAAGAAAAGGACATATATTCTTCCCAAAAATAATTTAATGAATATTCCACTCGTTGGCTATCTGATCATGGGCAGAGTAACAAAGCCCTAGCTTGCCTTTGGAGAAATCCAAAAAGTCTTGCTGCAGTACACCAATTTTTAAAATGATCTTAAGTAACATCTTTATATGGATGAAAATAAATTGGAACAGGTCCACTTGTATGGACCATTTAACAAACTTTTGTTCAAAGAATGTCCTACAAATGGACTTTTCATCATGTATCAAGGTTCTGATAATGCTGTTACTTATGAGACTTGATTAATCAAAGTCACTAACAATTTTAAAAATCTTCTGCATTAGAAGCAATTATATTTTATACAATTATTTTTCTTTATGCTTTATTACACAATCTTCCTATTTTATTTGCAATTAGAAAAGTTTATAAAGAATTTCATAAAATGAACAGTTGATGTTTTTCCCCCACTGTACACTTTCAGAGAGGCATTTGAAACATATTTTAAATAAAACGTGTCTATTTAGCACAGTATCGTGGCAGCAAATTGTAGATGCTAGCAATTTTAGTATGTTGTAGCAGCTACACCAATGCATGGTAAACTAAATTTCCTCTGCTTATTTTCTCAGTCCTTGATTAAAGAAAAATATTTTGAAAAACATTGTTTAGACTATTCATCAAAGCAATAATTTACAACATAACAATGAGAAATAAGTTGTGTTTGTAATGCTTGCATGTGTTCAGTTCAGTAGTGCAACGCCCATAAAAAGCTACAAGTAAAGCAAGCTTTTATGAGCAAGCTAATGGCAGGCAGTTTCTCCCATAATCTACAAGCAAACCTTGCAACATTTACCAAACACCTGTTAGTCACAGAAATAACCTTAAAAAGGTTATCTTCATCACCATTAAGGCTAGAACCAATTTTTCTTTGTATGTAATTACATTGCAAGAACAGGTGAATTCTGATCTGTACATTGGAAAGCAAACTGATGCTGATTGGCATCAGGCTTTAATATTTGCAAGGCATATTACAGTGACCCAATATAAAATCTACAAAAGCTCAGCTGCTCCTGTTCCTTTCCCATTGTGATTTACTCATCTTCAAACTAAGTAGGAGCCTTCTTGCACTGTGAGAACTGCTAAAGCTTACCTTCTGTCCTCCTCTGGTCCCCAACCTTTCCCCCTCCCCCTATGATGATGGCTTTGAGTCAACTGAGGATTCTTGTATGACACTGCTCCTCTAGGGCAGCTTTTTACATGCTATGTATTGGTTAAAAAATGCAAAGCAGATGGAACTGGGCTCAGGACTGACCCAAGAGTTCTATTTCCCAAACAGAGAAAAACAACAGTTACTTACCTCACAATAAGGGTGGCTTTTCAAATTATTTTGCACTTACAGCTGTCTATGTACTAAAGCACAGGAGTTTGGAACATTTTCACTAGTAGTGTTTAGCATAGTCACACATGTGGCGTATATAGCTTCATGCCCTCTGCTCCCAAGAGCATAGAGCCCATACTGCAATTTAGTTCCTCTGTTACTCAGGATCCACCCTTCAAGTTGCATAGCCATGAGTGGTTGTGAGATTCTCATGTGCAGAATATCTCAAGAGATCACAGCTATAGTAAGTTAAGCAACTATTCTTTCTTCTCTGAGCTAGTGCACTTGTGGATCTCACTTATAGTGATTACCAAGAAGTCATCATTAATGGAGCTGAGAGGCTAGGGATGTTAGATATAGTGTAATTGAATAGTTTTGTAACTGTATGAAAACTTAACCGTTACATGACTATATAATAGTCCCCAAGGGTGGGACCAGCAATCAATGCGCTCCAGTCCCACACCTGTGGAGCCAGTTTAAAAACCAGCTCCCCATGCACACCAGCTGCCTGCCATCCCTTGCTACTGCTTCTGATACAGAGGCAGCAGCGTGGGGTGGCAACAGCCCATCTCCGGGGGTTTGTGCTCCCCACGAAGAGGCTGCTTTATGTCTCAGTTCCCCCACAGACAAGGGCTGCTGCCATGAAGCAGCCTCTGTCTGCGGTGAGCCCAGGTATGTGGCAGACAAAGGCTGCTCTGTGGGATGCAGAGCAGCTTCTGTCCACAGGGAGCTTGGATCCCCCATGGACAGGGGCTACTGTTGGGAAGCAGCCTCTGTTCATGGCAGTCCCAGGCTTGCTGTGGACAGAGACTGCTCTGTGGGATGCGGCATCTGTCCTACAAAGAGCTCAGGCCCATCGTGGACAGAAGCTGCTTCACAGCAACCTCCCCCTCACCCTTCTCCCACCTCTGCTGCTTCTAATAAAGGCAGCAGCATGTGAGGGCAGGCAGCACCGTGGAGACACTGAAATTCCCCACACTGCCTCTGTAGGAGGCAGCAAGGGTGGGAGCAGGTGGGTCCATGGATCTGGTTCCCTGTAAGTATTTGCTCCAACCTAGCTCCCTCACTCCCCCTCCTCCCCAAGGAGTGGTGGGGGCAGGTGGATCAGGTGCTCATGAGGAACTGGCTTTTAAGCCAGGACTTCACAGGCACTGGCTCCCACTCTCCCACACTTGCTGCCTCTGATACATAGCGCAGTCATCTACATTATAACATCCCTATGAGAGGCATGAGTTATTTGAAAAGAAATTGCAAAACTGCTTCGGAAATGGAATCAGATCTTGAAGCAATCACTCAGGAATTATGTTTTATAAACATGTGCACTATAAGCCAGGTAGCTGATCTGCAGATTTTGGACACTGTTATGTGCCTTAGGCATGCTATCCATGTGCCTTGTGCTCTGACAGAGTCCAAATGTTTGAAGCAGTTTTCTCAAATTTGATACTCATTTTGAGAGTATTTACAACAAAATAACCATCCCTTTTCATTTGTTGCCATAAGCAATGAAAAGTCCTTGAGTACTATAAACAGATTTGAGCTCTATCTAGGTAGTATAACAACAATATTCTGATAGCTTCAGTATGTAATTTAGCTACATCCAATGAAAATAAGGTTTCAGAAAAAGATTGGCAAGTGAATAAACTGACACAAAAATCTGACCACAATTTTGGAATAAAAGGTGGGTGTGATCTCAGTTACCCTCTCGATATGAAAAACTATATGGAGAATTTATCATTACAGCTTGCAATTCATTTATTTTATAAATTCATATAATTTCCACCAAAATTGACAACAGATGAACTGGACAATTTGATAGAGGTTCAAAAGGCAGGTGCAT